GGCATAACCAGGAGAGCAACTACACTTGTCAGTTTCAGTACATATAGCATTTAGACCGCAAACCTTATCACAGACAGGCTCACATATATTATTCGACATTGTATATCCAGCACTACAAACACAGAGCTCAGGTTGTTTACATTCTGAATTTGTGGGACAATCTTCTGAACAAGCCGGAACACACTTATCGTCCACACTCCGATAGCCCTCATTACAACCACAAAGATTCGGTGCCACACATTTTGCATTCTCAGCACATTCATCTACACAAACAGGTTCACAAATTCTCGAATGATTGGCGTATCCTAGGGAACACTCACAAATACCTGGTGCTCTACAGTAAGCATTTTCACCACAATCTTTTTCACAAATTGGCCAACATTGACCGGTTTCATACATATATCCAGCATTACAAATACAGTTTTCAGGTTGCTTGCATTCTGAATTTATCGGGCATTCTTTTGAACAAACCGGAACACACTTATCGTCCATACTCTGATAGCCCTCATTGCAATCACAAAGATTCGGTGCCACACACTTTGCATTCTCAGCACATTCATCTACACAAACAGGTTTACAAATTCCCGAATAATTGGCGTATCCTGGTGAGCACTCACAAATATCGGGTTCTCTACAGTAAGCATTTTCACCGCAATCATTCTTGCAAATTGGTCGACATTGATCGGTTTCATACACATATCCTGCATTACAAATACAGTTCTCAGGTTGCTTGCATTCTGAATTTATCGGGCATTCTTTTGAACAAACCGGAACACACTTATCGTCCATACTCCGATAGCCCTTATTGCAATCACAAATATTCGGTGCCACACACTTTGCATTCTCAGCACATTCATCTACACAAACAGGTTTACAAATTCCCGAATAATTGGCGTATCCTGGTAAGCACTCACAAATATCGGGTTCTCTACAGTAAGCATTTTCACCGCAATCATTCTTGCAAATTGGTCGACATTGATCGGTTTCATACATATATCCAGCATTACAAATACAGTTTTCAGGTTGCTTGCATTCTGAATTTATCGGGCATTCTTTTGAACAAACCGGAACACACTTATCGTCCATACTCTGATAGCCCTTATTGCAATCACAAAGATTCGGTGCCACACACTTTGCATTCTCAGCACATTCATCTACACAAACAGGTTCACAAATTCCCGAATAATTGGCGTATCCTGGTGAGCACACACAAATATCGGGTTCTCTACAGTAAGCATTTTCACCGCAATCATTCTTGCAAATTGGTCGACATTGATCATTTTCATATGTATAACCATCTTTACATTCACATTTGTTCACATCAATGCATTGAGCAAACTCGCCACACTCTTTAGTACATTTTGGTAGGCATAAGTTCGTCTCATTATGGTATCCATCTTTACATTGGCAAACATTCGGTGCTACACATTCAGAATTTTCTGTGCATTTTTCACAAAATGGTTTACATGATTTAGACTTTACATCTTGTATATATCCATCGTTACAGTCACACTTATTTGGAGCTACGCATTTAGAAAATCTTCCACAAGCTGGAATACATCTTGCCTCACAAACTCTAATTGGTCCTTCTTTAAAATCATAGATAAATTCCTCATAACCTGGACTGCAGCGACATTGATTTTTTGCTACACAAATGGCATTGACAGGACATCCTTTAGAGCAGTTCGGAACACATTTTCCGTTTTGATTAATAAAATCCTTGGGGCATATACATATGCCGCTACGGGTGCAGTAGCCGTCCTCACAACCACCAGCGCAAGTTGACTTACAAATATTTTTTCCATTGATTGGAGATTTTTGACATGTTATGTGAACTCTTTTAGAATTTGTTGGTAGTAAATAATTCCAAAAAATTAAAAATATTATAACTTGTATTATTTCAAATCTTTTATAAAACATCGTGTCTTTCAAGTCAAGTAGCTACACACGATATATTAAAAGTAAAATCAGTTTTAAAATAAAATTTTTCCTCAAAGAGAGTGTGGATGGCGTTATATTATTTAATCATAAGCGGCGCAATCACACTATACCCTATATTCAGCCGGATTAAGTTATTTTAAATGTAAGCTAGAAAGCTATCAGGTACTTGTCTCAGATATAAGTAATATTTCTTATATATTTATACAAAAATTTGCGATAATTACTGTTGGAGTGAGAGTTTGTAATGTAAGGTAATAAATATATTTTGATTGTATATTGCACCTTACTATATACATAATTATATATATATTGGTATATATTGTACTCCGCATATATTCAAATTTAAGTTTACAATGCTACTATATATAAATATAGTAAAACATGAAAAATTAGAACAGATCATATACAATAAGGGTTCAAAATTATGGATTTCCCCCTTATGTCTGAGGTTTTTTTAATTTAAATTAATTAATCTTAAATCCCATATATGTAATGTAAATGACATCTATTTGAGATGGCTATAGACATTTTTTTTTCTATTGGTATTACTGTTGAAGTCAATTTTTAACGCTGTCTGTTTACATGACAACAAATTTACAATAATAAGGATTGTTTCATTTCCTATCCTCACATAGATATATATTACATCCTTATTTCAGCCAATCATAAATTTTTTTAGGTTCTATTTTTCAGTGTTGGCATTTTACGAACATATAGAGTGTGCTTTTTACTTGCTGGTTTCGCCGAAATTGGTGGCGATCGAAGACGGGTAACTGTGACAACAGCTCTTGATATATAACTTACAAGATGTAAAAATAAGTCAATCATTTTAGAGTAGTCCTTTAAAGATTAACATATATGGGTATGAGCAATATAATAATTATTTATTGGTGAGAAAAAAATTAATTCTAATAACTTTCATTTAGGGTAACCAAGTACGTAGACTTAATATTACTGACCTGCTTCTCTGAAGTATGCAGGCCAAGTATATTCTTGGCCTACATATTAGATGGCGGTTTTTAATATTAAACAATTTTGGAGATTAAAAAAAATTTTAAATTATTTCAATATTTTGTAGACTTTGAATTATATTTATTCCGCTATAGTAACTCTTAATAAAATAGATTAAGTCCCTTAAATAGAGTGTTCTAAAATTTTATATTGCAACTCTCAAAAAATAATATACATGTTTGTAAAAAAAAAATAAAATAGTTTAAATAAAAAAATGACTAATTTTATCACAAATGAGAATGTGTTCGTTTATATTATGTATTCAAGATAAACTTTCAAGTCCAGTATTGTGGGGATTGAGAAATATTTGCAAATAGTGTATAAACCCAATTCGCAATAAATGAGGGTCACACGATTTTTATAAAAAAAGTACCAAAATTAATGAATCATTGCTAAAGTAAAATAAAATCAAGACCCTTTAATGCACATTGGATCCATATTTAAAATGTGTTTTAACGCACTTAATTTATAGCTACGAGGGGATTTACAAAAATTTTTTTGTAGTTGTCTTAAAAAAATTAGATTAAAATAATTTGAATTTTATAATTTAAATCTTCATTATGATTTGTATACCATAATTACCATTAAATTGTTATGTTTTTCTGAAGACGGTAATTCTACTTTTTCAAAAAGTCTTAAAAATCTGATATTTTAGGTTTGAAACTTTAAAATTAACTGGATTAGGATTAGGATAATCCTTTAATATTATTTTCTTTAATTCCTGAAAGCGCAATGAAGTTGCTAGTTTATTAATACTGTGGGCTGACGTGTTATTGTTATGCAGAAAGTATCGGTGCAGTCTATTTTTCTCTGATTCCTCAACAAATTTCTGAAACTATAAATCCAGTGTTTAGAAAAATAACAGCTACAATTTTCTTCTGGTAAAGTAAATTAACATCATTACTTTTGTAACTGATTTCTATAGCCTAGCTTTAACAATCGGTTATTGGTTTGTGTTTGGATCGAACTTGAAAAATTAAGCTTGAAAAGATTTTTCAATCTTTAAAATTTTTTAAAGAGTATAGCACATGTACCTCTTTTCAGTTAAAGTTCGAGAAATCCATCATCTTGATATCTATTTGTATCCAAAATGATTGTTAAATATTCGCAAAGCTGTTATGCCAATATAGTTTATCAGCAATTATTTCCTGCCTCTATGTTGAAACTTCATTAGTTCTGGACTTTACCAGAACGGCGTTAACATTATTTGTAAGTTTTGGACGACAATCGCGAGATTTGCCCTCGTAGAATTTTCAAACCTACATCGAGACAGTCACAAACGATGGCACATTCTGTCTATATGCTGTTTGGCACTCTTATATTTCTACAGGTTTGAGGGTATGCCACAATCTATTAAGAACCGAAACCGAATCTCTTGTTATGATGGCGTTGGAATCGACTCTTTATTATGATTGCTGAAAAACTTTAAATTTAATATCGTTATACTACGCCAAATCAACTAGCATTTTTTTGATGTCGTAAATTGATTCTGCTTTGATAACTTAACGAACTTTTGAGAGACCCTTCGTAATAATGATGGACAACCGAAGCAGTAACAAATACTGACAACAATGAAAAATGGAGAGCAAATATGTACATGTTGTTAAAGACGTGTGATAAATATAGTGTTATAAATGCTGTTGTTTAGGAGTACGAGTATTTTCATAACTACGTCTTGCCACAGCTTTTAATAGAATAAAAAAAGTGCTTTAGGTCATTCTTCAGTTTATGTGTAATGCAGATTAAACATACTAAGAGTTTATTTTATAGATAAAATATATCAGCTGAAACAACTTCTTAAAAGCGAATTTTGGGTTTGGAATCAGCATGATCTATAAGCAGTAGAACAGAGTACAGACCTAAGTGAATTCCTGGAATTATCACCAGAACTTAAACTGCCCTCTGTAACTATTAGAATATTTAACTAATCACTATATAAGCAATAAATTCGCTTCAAATTTATTGTGTATATACTTTTTTAAAATCAATTATTTAGAAACTGACCATTTATTTATTGTACGGAATTATTGTTATATATGTTGACTTACCTTAAAGCTATAATTTTACATTGCTCCTCAGGAGAAGGCAATCGATGATTTAAAGGCACATCTTTGTTTATGTCATTAGGAATTTGGGAATTATCGACGACATTACTAACATTTATGGAATAGAGCGCATCTACAGCATCAGCAGATAGCACGGACGGAGAGAGTGCTGGTGTCAGTACACCATTATCACCAATTATGACGGATGTGCTAATAGAAGTATCCACATGATGCATGCAATCTGGCGTTACAGTGACATCACCCAATGCTTCAGTGGATGTCCATTTACGCAATTCTTCAATGGCGGCAGGCTAAAATATAGTGAAGAAAAAAAAACAAATTAACTATTTTTATCAAAATTCTTTAACAGTACATAACAATAAAACAATTAGTTTTTATTTAAAATGTTGCAAATAACGTGAGGAATGTAATTAAACAAAATTTTTCCCCAAGGCAAAATATAAAATAGAAAGCATAAAATTTCTTTGGATTTTTTAGATAAAAGTATAATTAATTTAAGTGACATGCAAATTTTAGACATTTCAACGCATTTCTGGTCAGTCTTTATGTTTTAATTATATTGTATCGTTTATATGAAAAATATTTAGCGAGAAAGCCTTCGATACAACGCAATCTAAGCCATGGAACATGAAAAGGTTACGTAAATTTAGACTCGGACCGGCATTGGAAAAACTAACCCCGCTGACACTGGCGGAAATTAATCAAGCAAACAATGTTGGTGTGAAGTACAAGGGAAAGGTCATGTTCAGCCGGTGACAAGCATAGACGAGCAGCATTTCAGGAGTAGGAAATGAAATTGTTATGCTGCTCCTTCCGTGCCGTCATACATGCGGGCAGTAGCTGCGGCAGAAGGACGCTAAAGGCATATTAGAAACCTTATCAGCTGAAATCAAAAAAACATAGAATTGCATGAAAAAAATTATTAACGTGAGAAATGCCTTTGAAATGCTTTCAAAACATTTCAAAAATTTACCAAAGTCACGCGATAACGTGAATGAGCATTTCACTGCTGAGCTCACAAAGGAAAAGTGTCGGTAGGTAGGCGGTACACTCTCAACTCTTTAACATTTTCGGATTAAGGAACCTTTTTCGATTCAATGAAAATCGTAATTTATAGCAAAAAATGGCACAGTATGCAAAAAAAACACAAAAATAACAAATTCAATCAAGTAAATTGAAGCAATAAAAGTGGAACAAAATGTAATTAAAACAATTTTAAGCTACAAATAAAGGCAAAATGGAAAATAAATCAAGTCGAAATCAAGTATTTTTATTTGCAATAAATAACAAGGCAAGCAGTTTGCCTAAGTGGCATGTTGCAAAGCCTAGCTGAAGTTGAGATTTACTCTGACTAAACGAAAAAGTCAAGTAACATTTAACTAACGGCTAGAACGCGACACATAATTTATGCAACAAGCTTGAAGCACACGAGTCTGAGATACACTTACACAGATACTCACATATACTCGCACAAATCTATTGTAGGTAGTGCAGGCATATGTGGTACGTTGTACACGACATTTTGTCGACTTTAATCTCAGGGTCATAAATAATACGCTTAATAACTCGGCAACTTTCATAGAAGTAATGTGTGGTCTAACTAATGCGCAGTTCGTCCGTCCGTCCGACAGACAAACAGACGAGCCGAACGAAAAGATATGTTGAGTAGCGTCCAAAGCGAATCATTCTACACAACTTTATGCGGCATTCAATGCAAGTTCCTCTCAAAACTTGGACTCACTCTGTGCCAATTGCTTAGCTACGTAAACAGCTTCAAAGAAATTCTTGTAAACTTTTATGAGATGAAATAAAAAATATGAGAAAAACTAGACATGTTCAGACAGACAAACAATTCGGCTGTCTTCAACTAACGTTTACTTCATTGTGTGACTTTTACAGCTTCTACATATGCAGTTGGAGACCGTAAGTCCGTTTAATTGTTGTCTACATTACTATAAAAAAAAAAAATAAAACGCTAAAGATATTGTCACAGTTATAACTTACAAAACTGCATGGAGCAAATAGGATTCATAAAAATGTTTAGGAAAGCTAAAGAGCTACAGATAGAGTATAGATAATTCTGTTAGAATCTAATAATTGTAAATTATATAAGATAATTTGTAAGATACGAGTATTTGCTATATTAAAACAAAAATTAATTTTTTTATAAGAGGACCAAAAAGTACAGGGCCGTAGCATTGGCGGAATTACGGCAATAAAGGTAACGTGGGTTACTGGTAAAACTCTCCTGCAATAGTATTATGTCGAGAAGCATTTTTCTATACTTTCAGAATACAGTTAGATAAGGTCAGTGTTAGTCCAGTAACACAAGTTGACAAATTAAGTCACCTGCTAGTTGTCGCATATTTTTGCACCTTAACGGTAAGATGGAAAGGTATTCTATATTCTATATTCGTCATCTGACGCATGTATGTTATTGCACTCCGAAATACGTAATAGATATTAACAAGATTATTTATAGTATAGTAAGGAAGACGTCGTATATAATAAAAGCCATATATATGTATATGTAAAAGGATTTGAACTCTAAAATTGTCAATTTTCTCTATTGTCTATTGTCCTCTCTAATCTAAATCAGTTTAACAGTAAGTCTCAATAGGTTTTTAGTTGTTGAAAAAAGTTGTCACCTTTAAAGCTGTTACTTATCAGTCGTTTTGGTTGTCCAGTGTAGTAAACAGTCAACAGTTGATAATGAAGTGGCAATATCAGTACAAATACTCTTGTAGCTAAATTAGGTGTGTTGTAAGAAATCAAATGATCCATTCTAAGTTATGGAAAATAATATATTCGATTATTCGTGCCGAAGTAGAAATAGGTAATTAATAAAGTTAGCGTAGGAGATATCTTATATTTGCTGAAAGCGTATATTGCATTTCTTTGTGTGCTGAATATTTGGTGATCGGATTTAACTTGTGTTGTTTGTGTTTTGTTATCGTTTTGCTTTGTGTGTACTCTGTTAGAGCTAAACACTTTTTCTGCATGCTGTCGTTTACATTTTCTACGTTCCCTACTAATTTAGACTATAGATTTAATACTTTCTAAATATAACTCACTCTTTTCTAATCTTGAAACAATAACAAAGTTTATTATGGATATTTTTCAATAAACACTTATAATAAACGCAATAAAATTATTTAACATGCATACAGAGTTTAGCAAAAATAATCTTTTTTCTATCAATCTATTATATGTGGACTAAATCATTCTTAATATGCAAACTAGTCAGTTTTTAAGCAAATCTCATAAAACTTTTCATAGCAACATCTTAAGACTTCAGGCATGTAAAACAGCTTTTTTTTAATCTATATATCTTTACATATTAATAGAATAGAATAATTTTAAATTTATGCTATTAAAGTTGTGTTCCCACCCAAGCATACTGAATCAATTATCCTGTACAATCATCTAACCTAAGAGCAATCATCAACCATATTTTATTGACAATAAGCGCATGTAACACTACATGTTATAATTTATCTAAAAACCACTAGCTAAAGATAACTGTGTAGATAAATTGTAACCGCAACTCTGGCAGATAGCAGATTCACAAATATAAATAAAATAAATTAAATTGCTGGTATGTAAATTGTGCAATCATTGATACTTCAGATTCATTCAGTAACAATTTCGACACGCCTTGCGGCATCTGATTTTCTGAAACCGTAAAAGAGCGTATCGCCAGCCAAAGTGTGAAAGCTGAAGTGAAGTTCGTAGATTTTTATTTTTATTTTTATTTCATGTTGACGATATTTTAATAAAATGACTTTTAATCCTTTTCACAGTACCGACGCCCGATGACGTTAGACTGCTTGGAGTGAATTCGATGCGCTGGCATTCGAGAGCAGTAAAACCATTGCCACAATGACTATGGCTAATGGCAAAAGCAACAATAAAAACAACAAGGAAATTATGATATGAAAAAATTTTAGTCACTTTTGATACGAAAGAGCTCTGCAGTAATTTCTCCGACAGCATTGGACCTGGAGCAGCTTGCGGTCGTGGGGCACTCAAATTACATTATTAAATATCGGAGACATTTATGCGAAAATATAGTCTTTTATCATCAAAGTTGTGGCAGCTAAAAAGCAAAACACAAATGAATGAATGAATGAATGCCTGAATGTATGGATGAATGCATGAATGAAATGCGAGTAAAATTGAAGCAATAAAACTTTTTGGTAGTCGTAGCTTTGGGATCCATTAATAGTGCGGGACGTGCAAAAACAATGGAACTTGTCATTTAGGAACAAGTAAACAACAATCATTAACAATTGTTATGACAGTGGAAATTTATTGAGATATGGGAGTTATGTTAGAGATTTGCTCAGATTGTTGATAGGGAATGGGGAATGAGCAAAAAGTTTAAAACTTTTATGAATAAGAAAATACAGCACGTATGAACAAATATATATGTAAGTAAATATATTTGTATATACCTATATACATAAATCTAGAATTTATATATGTATAAAAGCAAACTAAGGAGTACAATAATGAGAAGAAATTATATCTGATGCTTTTACGATGTGAGTCTGATCCTTCAATTTATATAGTCATTCATTCAATTTACATTAAAATGCAATTGCACAATATAAAGTATTTGAATTTAGAGTAAAATAAAAACTATTTAGTAATTTAGTAAGATATAATTTTTGTATGAAACAGTATAAACCGCATTGTTCAACATGTAAGTACATAAAACTACAGAGGGTGATTACAAAAGATTGCAAAAAATAAAAAGAAAGACAAAATTGATGTTCCCAATTTATACTATATGCTGAAACAACCTCCAAGGTGATGGACTTACAATTCATTATTGTTTATTATTGCTTTAGAAGAGGTTCCAAGAATTGCAAATCTCTAAATCGGAGCTACAATACGGACCGATGACAACAATATACTAATACATTCTATAGTGTCTGATAAGGTGATGGACCTTTAATTCGCCACTGTTGATTTTTCCTTTAGAAAAGGTTCTAAAAATCGTAAATCTCTAAATATAAGATACAATAATAGAGTTTGAAAAGTCTAATGAAATAATCATTATAGTACAAGCATCGAACAAGTTTTTTTTTCTTTGGAAAAGGTTCTAAGAATTACAAATCTGATAATCTAAGATACAATCACAAACCCGAAAACATCGACATAATAATAACATTTGTGATTTAAATGAAAACTTCACATATGAACCTGGACGATTATTTCGGTTTTCATATCAGTTAAGACAAAATTAATATATTGCGAATTACAATTTTAAAATATTTAAATAACTAATTAACATGTGTAATTTGTTACGTTCATCATTAAATGACCGTCCATTAAATATTCCAGAAAAATTTTTTTTTTGTTTTAAACATCCTTTGAATTTGAATAGTACATTGTTAATCTTTGTTAATTTATTACTATTACTCAATTGTACTTAATAGATATTAAGTTATACGTGTTCGTTAATAGTCCTTTACTTATCTATAGATGCAAAATCTTGATCTTAGAGCGAAAAAGTCCGATAACCAAAGATGCACAGTGGAACGATAGTCCACGAAGAGAAGTCTTGGTCGCGTATGAGAGGAAGCAGGTTGGTATTAAATTAAAATAAATTTTGATTTTGTTACAATATATTAACTTGGAAGTCAAAATGAAGTTATAGATAATGAGTTGATAATGTCATGTAACATAAATGGTGCTTCAAGTTGGAATAACGGTTGGAAGGCCCTCAACGCGCTGCTTAATAGAATGAGTACCAATACGAAACGATTTGGTGTCAACGACTAAAAAGCCCTCAACGCGCTGCTTAATACAATGAGAACTAATAGGAAACGATTTGATGTCAATGACTTTAAAATAATCGTTAGAACTGTAGAATTGTGTGTAGAGAATATAAGGCTGTACTTTAGCTATAGCTAAAATGAAGCAGAAGAAGAAGTGGGAAAATTTGTTCAAAATTTACCATTAATAAAGCAATGTTGACCCAATGTGTTACAATTATCATTGCTTTTTCTATAGCTTTTTATATATATTTTGTTACACAGGGTACGAGATTCTTTTCATACTTCACAATTTTTTAGTTCCTCCAACAACCACTTCAACTAAAAAAAAAGTTGTTTGAAAAATCTGAAAATCAATTTTTTTCCAATGCCTCCAAACAACTAAATCACACAGTGCTACTTTCCATATATGCTAATATTGTACAGAGATACTTGTCAACCATAATTGGTGAAATATTTTTTTTATGTGCCTACAGAATGCATCATTAGAACCGTTAACAAACCATAAATTCTAATCAAGAAAACTAAAAATGGTTGTTAGTATGTCTAAATGAAACGGCATTGGAATGGCAGTGTTGTATACTGCAATGCGGCTTATTGCATGCGGCACAGCACAACTGACAATCGTGGTGTACAGTGTCGCTACACTCTAATGCTGAACACATTTAAATTTTTTTTTTTCTATTATATTTTGTATTAATTTTTATACTTACCAATCTTATTTCAATTTCAGCATCGATACGGGTTTGCATCTTGCGATGGGCTTTACCAAATACAGGAGTACAAACCAGTTCATCGCTGCCAGCAGCTGTTGTAGCACCTGTACCAGTTATATCCACCAGACCATCAACGCCATTAGCATTGCCATCCATGGCAAATGATTTTGAGCGCGGTGATGATGCAGCTGAGGAGACGGATGACACTTTAGCCGCATCCTCGTAGAGCACACGTACACTACGAGGTCGTGTGATGGCAGTGAAGAGTTCTTTGCAATGTGATTTGTCGCTGTTGTAATGAGTTTTTCGCTGTGCAAATGTTAGGAGGTCGCTTTCAGCTAAAAAAGAAAATAAATTTAGAGAAAAAATTAATTTCAAATTAAAAATTATTTTTAAAATATAATAGATTTTCTGTTATAATGTGTAATGCTCATTCTTCTAAAACAAAAGTAATTATTTTTGCACTAAAACATATTAAAAAAAATGTATGATATATTTTTGCTTTATCAAAATCAAAAAAATAAATGGTTTTACTTTTAATTTTAGTTTCATTAAAAAACAAAAAGGAAAATATTTCATTGAAAGAAAATTAATTAATTAATTATTGTCTATAAACAGTATTCAGCACGCAGCAGGCAATATTTTATTGTATAGACATTGTCTAGTATAGAAAACCAGATGTGATATTTCATTTATTTTTTTAGGATCATTCAGTATACAAATAAAATTTGCAGAATTTTCTATTTATAATTGAATTGGATTTTCCGATCTTTCCTCAGTAATTTTGAGTTTAAATTGCTTACATTGATTTTCTTTAGTAGGCATATATATTTATATACCCAGTCATCTGTAAAATATCAAACAAACGATATTTATACGGCATTCAGACATTTATAAGTAATGCCAAAAGAAGATAATAAAAACTTCCAACTTGACTTAACTTAAAATTATATTACAACTTTTTTGTTAGTATCTCTACTTGTAAGCATTATATTGTATATATATACAGGGTTGGCTATATGAGGTAGACCAACTTATTTAACACTAATTAAAAATCATTTAACATAGTTTAACATCACTATCTGAAGATTATATCCGCCAATGAACACCTTTAGCTCGAATCGTGTAATGCGCCCGGATTTTCCCATTTGCTATTCGTATGTTCAAATGTTTCGATCCATATGGTGGCTATTTTCAACAAATGTTGTTTTAAATTCGTCCAGCGTCCTTGACTTGTCGTTATAAACCTTTGACTTTGAGTAGCTCTAGAGAAAAAAAGCTGGCGGTGTGAAATCGGGCGAACGCAGAGACCAGTCAAAATTACCAGCATACCATTTTCATGAACAACTGACATTAAAAAATCGGTTATCATATCAGGTGCATAACCTGTCAATAAGGTTGTTGCTGTACCACTGGTGTCTTAAAATATGGTCCGATAATCATATCAGCACAATTACGTATTACAGTCTCACTTTTTGGCAGTAAAGAGGTGGTTTTTTTAAGGGTTTTTCAAGTCGTATAGCGGACAGTTAGTGCTTTTACGATTTTGGTTACCATACAGTGTGTCTTATCACTCATAATGATGTATATTGCTCCGAGACAAAGATTTCCTAAGACTGACGTTTCAAGTTACAGTGTTATCAGATGAGTCCACCCTGTACTCTATAAAACTATTATCACTAAACGCTAGTTTGGTAATATCTATAAATAACAGTGTAAGTTAGTAATTCAATAGAAGTAGAAGAAAGGATCAAATGAGTGGACAGTTACGATTATTATAAGAGTCGCAATATTTTCTATGTCAAATGATTTTTTTTATCGGTGTAAAAACACTACTAGAACGATTGATTTGTTGGTGATGATACTTTTTTTATTGTATTATAGCGATTTATATAAAGACTGTATTTAGTTTTTATAAAAAAAATGTGTTCTTCTAATATTTATCTTTCTTTCAAATTCATACTTTCAATAAAATATAACTTAATATTAAATTTTTAAGGTCGATAATGCGGTATAAAATAAATTAAAATTTACTGTGTACATAAATAATAAAATTTTATTTTAGCAATTATTATTTTATTTTTATTATTACAGTATTATTTTTATTTACGAAGAAAATGCTAAAATACGTTCTACGCCAACGCCCAAAAAGGCGCCCAAAATTGGCGTAAAATGTGAAAATTCATGTGTCACCGATAAACACTTCCCTAAACTAAAATTGTGAAAACTTTATTTGTAAAAACTAAAAATATTATTTTCTAGTATTGTTCCAGTCGAGATGTCACTTCTATAGTCACACAGTCACAGTGTCATTTGCAGCTTAACTTTTGGCAACAAATACTAAACTTGGCGAGCACATCAATCACAGTTGAGCTGGCATAGCATTTAACATAACGGTCAAATGCATAAACATGAACTATGAAATATTATTGTGATATTTTAAATATTTTTATTTATTTTTAAAATTTTATTTTACACAATGTCGCCAAAGTGAAAATGAAATTTACACTTCAAAAAGTACAGTGTAATGCCAAGAGCCGTGACAACTGTGGTATATCAGGAACGCTGCCTGCCACGGTGCGAACTTGAAATTGAAAATGTAAATTATATTAGCCAGCCATGATGCATAAATTGTGCAAAAGTGTATGAATGCATTTAGACGCACTTATCTGGCTATCTTTACACATAGTAGGCCGCAACTGTAGGTGCATCCGTGTAGGCACACGAATTCGCTGCCAATAGCAAAGACGAGCAGTTCATGAAATTCGTTACATCAAATGTAAATATTCAATGCGAATTGCAACATCACTGCAAATTCTTTGCTCCATAATCGTCAGGTTAGTGACTACATGAAGGCTAGAACAAGGCAATATCTGCTGGTTAGATCGACTGCCGTTTGGATGGATGCATGTTGCCCGCAGACAAGACACGATAGACACGACAAACACGATAAACATGACAACAACGACACAGTATGACAACTACGACAAGCTACTGTATTGGCCAGTTGGTTTTCTTGCTCAACAACTATAATAAGAACAATGTGGAGGATGATATGGATATATATTGCTAATATGGTTCATGTTGTCATTGCTGTTGTTGCACATTCTGTTGAATTTCACTATTTCACTATTGTAGTTCTGCTGCACTTTCTCATGTCAAGTTTGTGGCATGCTTTCCTCTATAGAAAATTTTTTGCAACAAAAATTTTTTTACGAAGATATATTTCAAATTTTATTTATTTTTTTTATATATTTTTTAGGTATGGTTTTATTAGGACATTTTGCGAAATGGCTTATGTACTTTGTGCAATATAAACGCTACTTGAGATCTATTAACTGTGAAAGCTGCACGAACTAACGTCAAGAGCATCCATCAAGTGACTGCATTTAATGGAAGTCAGTGCCAAGAGCAAAATTTTGAAGATACTTTTTCGTTTCGACTCCGACAGTTGCTAGTTTGGTGGCTGTGCTGCCTGTTGAAGTTGATGACTGTTGCCATGATATGCATGAAATGTTAACACTTATTGGTCTGCTTTTGCAATTTTACGGAATTTTGTCAACCAAAAAAAAATTTACAAAATATTTAGTAAACTCACAAAAAAAAAAAACAATTTAATTAAATTTAAAACAAACTTAATTAGCAATTTGACGAAAATAGTTCATGTTTCTAAAAGCAGGCAAAGTAGAAATTGATTTAATTATGAAAAATAGTTTAAATTTTTATAAGAAATATACAAAATTTCAATTAACACTTGCTAAATAAAGTGCTAAATTTATAATGTCTACTAATTTCAATGATATACCTATGTATCTTTTGTATTGTCAATATACTTTAATGATTATGATTATTAAATAAAAACTTATATCAAATCAAAAAAAAAAAAAATAAAAAACAATTTCCTATAAACTTATATTTTGTTAATAATAGTTTAATAATATTGATAACTAACATTGAAAAAAATAAAACTGACTTCCAATTTGACAATATAATAAGCAAGTTCTTTCAAATAAACGATCGCCTCACTTTTTTCAATACCCAAATAGCAATAAGAGTCACAATGACATATATCAACTATATAATTAAAATCCAAATGGATTTCTTGATGGAAATGAAATAAAAGTTTTCGCCCTACTTCTACCAGGCGTGTACTCCTTTAGGTTCGACAAGTATATGGCCCTATTAGAATGGATGACGAGACATTCAGAAGATGAACAAACAACGAAATTAATAACCTGCTTAAAAATGAAAATATAGTACGATTTTTCAAAGCACAAAGACTGCAATCACGTTAAAAGAATGAGACCTGAAAGAAATCCGGTCAATATATTTAATGCTAATGCATTGACAACAAGACATAGAGGCAGACCGTAGCTGAGATGTAAAAAAAATGTGTACGTGGACGTCAGAAAGCTCTAAGTTCTGAATTGAAAACAACTGCACAAGATCGAAGCAGATGGAGGTAGGTTGCGAAGGAGGCCAAGGTTCACACTGGACTGTAGTGCCAAATAACAGTTAAAGAAGGAAAGTTTTTACCTAAAATATAATTGCTCCTGCATTTTATTTATTTATTTTATTTATTTATTTACCATTGAAATAACTAATCAGAAAATTAAAAATTAATATTGATTAAACAATTTTCTTGAAACCATTGGAAGTTCTAGCAAACGAGATAAAAATGATCACCAATTCATTGTACACCCAAAATTGTGGCTTTATAAATAAAATTAAACAAAGAGACATGTGATCTATGGACAAAAAACAAAACTCATAATGAATATCAAATGAGTTATTCGTTTAAGATGTTAGCGCTACTGTAAGACTCAATGACATAGAAAAAGAAATCAGAAAATTGGATTTTAAAAGTCCCCAAAAAGTAAAAATAATTTCAATTTTTCAAAAAGTCATTTATTTATATCACTATACCTTGAGAACAGGATCGAACACTATGATCTACGGCCTGCGATTTCACCTGTATATTATCAATCATTGAAAAAAATCCTTTGAGTATCTTTTTGAGCTAGAAAAAAAGTAGCAACGTAGCCTAACTTTATATAGAGGTTATGGAGTTACTATGATTTTATTTAATAGTTGAATATATGAATTATAACAATAAAGAAATTTGTATAATTCGCTTCTCTTAAGTCCTATGAAATTCTTATTTCTTCAGTATTCTTTTCTACTAATGATAAATGATTCTATAATATTAATAAGAATAATCTGCTTAATATTTTCTCGACTTTTCTAATAACATTTGTACCAATCATAAGTTCCTTGATATTAAATTTTGCTGTACAAAACATTATTAGGATACATGGCAAGTGGTACACCGCTACAT